GCACCCCCCCCCAGAACAATTGCCCTTAAAAACGAAAAGACCCCGCCAAGCCGGTACCGAGGGGTAAAGAAAGACTTGGCGCAGAAAAAAAAAAAAATCTCACAAGATCTAGGAACAGTATATACAACAGTGGTAATATTATCAAAATCCAAGGACTTGCCAGAATTTGATGTGGTTCTCCTGGCTCTTAGAATGGGATAACTGACAACTTCTAAAGATTTGGTCAAGTCGAGATCATGCAAGATCAGAAGGTACCCAGAAGAAGTGGAGATCAACATTTTGGAACAGTCTGGAGTCAATCTCATGCGCATGAGAAAGCGGGTGTGAAAGAACTTCTTGTGAGGACAACCATCTTCTGTGCACCTAGGGAAAGGCACCCATCAAACCACATCGATTTTTATTCTATAGTTTTAAGAACCCCAATTTTTAGTCTTATGTTTTAGTTGGTATTTCTCTTAAAGAATAATACTCATCTTCCCTCTTCCTGTCCTATTTCATACAATTTAAAGAAAAGCAAAGATTGGCTACACTGTCATTTTTCTACTGATATTTTGGTAGTGGTGACTTTCAACCTGCATATGGATGCAGAAATAGCTGTAGCGAGGAATTAGCTTTCTCTCTCATTCAACTCCAGCCCAAAAGCATCTCCTCCATAGCTTCAAAGAAGCAGCAGGATTTTGCTATCCTTCATAGGCTGCTTGCAGTGTCTCAGGTGCAGTACACATGCAGAGAGAAGCAAGCTTCAGATACATAGCAGCTACCATGACCCAGCACTAGTGCTGCTTATAAAGTAAGATAACATGAGACAGATATTCTGGAGGAAATTCCTGCACTTCCAGTCCAGCTATATTGTATGTTCTGGTGTAAAGTACTGGGTATTATGCAGTGGTGACAAGTCATTGCTGTCTCAAATCACCTGACTGGTTTCAGTATAAAATTCTCATTCTCTATTTTTACCTGTTTTATTTTTTTATGACTGCTGCCTTTATGGCCATAGTAAAGATTTAATATGGTCATTCCCACTCATCTACTGGAATTTTAACATGTTTCAAGACTCTGCTCCAAGTTTAGCTTCCAGTGGGCATTTCCCAGAAGCATATATGCTAATTTCAATGATGGTAGTTTGCTGACCTTACAATAAAGGGGAGATGGAAGCACAGATGATGACAGGGAACAAATTTTGACCTACACCTGCAGAACACTAAGCCATAAACCACGACACTTGAAGTGCAACCATATCCTGTTTCCATGCAGCCAGCAAGTTTTCAGATAACATACAAAAAAGGCAGGATTATTGCCATTTCAATAATTCTAGATGAAGAAAAGGATCAATGGGAAATTTGTTTACCTGTTGGTATCCCAAATTATGACATTTCCATCAAATCCTGATGTTACTAGCAATCTTGTGTTAGTGTCATATTCAATGTTCTTCACCCAGCTGGTGTGACCATGTAAAGTACACACTTTTGAATCTAGCTTCCTCAAATCCCAAAGTGCTACGGTAGTGTCATCAGAGCAAGTTGCAAACAATCTGTTATCAAGAAACCTACAAATAAAAAAATGGAAAGGGACAGGGTCTGATTAATGTAATAAAGTTCATACCAAACATCACTAAATCAACAAAAGTGTTACCCTGCACTGATTCCAATTAATACCTATACTGTATAAGGTAGTATCAATGTAGTACTTTTAGAGCATCTGAATTGTGAAAGACTAAAGCAGATCTCAAAAATGGGCTATAGTGCTTGAGGTGAGAATCTAAGACCCCACTAATTTAAGAAATATCAGAAGACAACTTTCTTATATAGCCAATTTTACATTTGGATTGTTTAGTAAGAATGTATGAGAAGTATCATTACTATGACACTTCTCAATCTATACAAAATATCTCCTTTTGAAAGAAACACAGATTTTAAATAACTATAACTGATTTATTATACTATGTTCAATTTGCTTTTATATATATTAGTTTTAACCAATGTTTGCTAGTTACTAAAAAAGAAATGCGTTCAGTCAAATATGCAATTAAGTTTTCATACTGCTATATATTTTAATTTGGATCCTTATTCTCCAGTTGGAACTATATCTGCTTTAAATTCATTCCTATTGCTATCCACAGTTTATGAACTTTAGAAAATCATTGTAATTATTAATTTGGTTTATGACTAGGGTCACCTTGGGTGGAAGGAAGAACTGGCAGAAGTAAGGCATATCTCTTTACCCAACCTTTGGGATTCTCAGACCCAGTTGATCCTAACTTCTGTAGAGGAGGGGTAAATAATTTACGGACTTAAAAACATAGAACCCCTTTATGAAGACTGGGGCTCCTACAATAAACTGTGCTCATCCACATTGCCTGCTCTTTGGCCACAGTAACTCTGGATGTGGCTTGGGTCTCCACAAAGAAATGAAATTAGTATAACAAATTATGATACCAATTGATAAGAGCAAGAAGAAAAAATATTTTGAAAGACAACTGATCTGGATGACATTACAACTTCAGCTTCATCCTTCACTAGTTTTAGAGTTAAACAAAACAGGTTTTGGAATTTTAGTCATTGGCAACTGATTCTCACCAGCGGACTAACCTGATATTATTTACACAATCCTCATGAGCAGTGGAAAGGGTTTTGATGTGCTTTGAAGAGATGGGATCAAACAGCAAGACTTCTGTCTGTTCACAAGCAACAGTTAGCACTGACCTGGACAGCAAAGAGAAGCAGGTACATTACACATAAAAAAACTTCAACACCCTCTCAAAAGAAAGGCTCCAAAAATATTCCTTTTAAAAGGCCCACACATACTTAGAAATGACTCAATAGTAATAACGTCATGGAAAAAGTTGTTCCTTTTGGGTTAGAAATTTTTCTTCCTTCTTTTAAATTAGTATGTGCAAAAACAACCATCAACACAACTGAGAGTGCACTGAATAAACCCAAGAAAAAAATACAATAACTTTTTTGTTTGTTTGTTTCTTTGAGTCAGTCTTGACTCCAGACAACTGCCTGGACAAGTCCATGCAGTTTTCTTGGCAAAATTTTCAGAAGTGGTTTGCCCTTGCCTTCTTCCTAGGGCTGAGAGAGAGGGACTGACTGGCCCAGAGTCACCCAGCTGGCTTTGTGCCCAAGGCAGGACTAGAACACATAGTCTCCTGGCTTCTAGTCCAGTGCTTTTAACCATTACACCAAACTTGTTTTCTTCAGTAACCACAGTATTGTAATATTTCTCTAAGTTATGTACTACATATTTAAAACATTGTTAATTTTATCTTCTTCCACTTGCTTCAGCATTATGAAGCAGAAACTGTTTCATGATCTTTTCTAGAACTTCTGGTAAAACTAGTTCCATGTTCTCAACTGTCCAAAAAGAATTGAGTGGGAAAATGCTTCCTACAATCATCCAAGGTTCAGTCAGAGAAACAGCACTCTAATAACAGGAGAAAATACTTTCTCTCCAGTTAGATTTCTAGAAGGCTTCAAATTTTATTTATTTATTTAATTCAATTTAGATACCACCCAAATCTGACTCTGGGTGGTCCTCAAATAGTAACATAAAAACCCAAATTGTCCCAAAACTAAGATGGGATCCAGGTACAACATACAGACAAAAATCAAAAACAACAGAGACACCCAACAAGGGGCCCCATCCAAATTATCTCAAGGCCTGGGAGAACAACCAAGACTTCAAAACTTTACCAAGCTCCAACAAGGTGGGAGCCACATGGAATTCAGGGGGGATTTCATTCCAAAGGACACCCACTGTGACAGAGAAGATATGCTTCTTGGGTCCCAATAGATGACATTGTTTAATTCAAGGGAACCAGAGTGGGCTAACTCTGAGAACATGTTACCAGCTGGGCAGAAACCATGGGAGATAGGTGGTCCCTCAAATAACTTGGTCCTATGCCATGTAGGGCTTTACATGTGACTTCTTCATCAATGAGATTACAATGAGATCATTTTTTCATCAATGAAATTACAAAGAAGCTGCAAAGCAACTGGCTATTTATACATAAAGAAACAATAATTTAAGCATCCGTCTGGCCTTTTTTGAATGTATTTCATACTCCTTCAAGGAAGAGAAAGAACCTGTCTACCTTCCTTCCTTTAGAAGACACCTATTTTCAATCCTTGAATAACCATACTTTATTAAATGGTGCACCTGCTGAATAAATAAGTCTTTCCCATTGTTGAGCCCCAATCAACAAAAACACTTTAATTGATAATTGTTTGTGTGATCACAAATACTCCATGAAGCTATGAGTACATTGTACAGATTGCAGCCTTTTTTTTAAACAACATCATCTAACAGCAAAGGCAAGATTTAATTTTTTTCTCCCTAATTCTACAAAAGATACATGTGTATCCATATAATTTAGGAATAGATCTTACATTGCACTACTAGAAAAGGAGTAACCAAAACATAAAAGTAATAGCTCCAGTCTTTCTTCCATTGGTCAGACTGTATATGGAACATTAGGTCCTATTCTCAGAGCCCCATTATAGGAAGATACTAACAAACCAGGATATGTCCAGAGGAGGAAAACCAGGATGGGTGATGGTGGGGGTCTAATTGCAAGCAATATGAATGGAAAAAGTTGGCCTAGAGTGAAGACAGTAAGGGGAAATGACAGCTGTCTCAAGAGAAGTGAAGGGCGTTATGTACAACAGACTGTTTTTTTGTTATTCTAAAGTACACAGTTAAAACTAATGAGTTGGAAATTGCAAGGAAATAAATTGAAGCTAATTGTAAGAAGAGAATTCCTAAAGGTAACAATGAATCAACAGGGAATCAGACAAGAGGGAGTTTTTGCTAGGAGCATTTTAGGAAAATCTTCATGGCCACATGTCAAGGATACTGTAACTGCAATGTTCTTGCAGTTATCTAAATAACATCCAAGATACCTTCACATCTAAAATCACATGATACTTAAAACTTCCCCACTCTGCATTATATCATAACATACCACAAATGAACATAGATTAGATTCATTCTGTTTCCCCATCTTAAATTCAAAGCCACTTTGGACTGTCCACTAGAGTTAGTTTTTCAGCTGAGAAAGAGGTAATTAAAAAAAAAAAGGCTGGATCCATCACTGGGGTGGATGGAGATTGATTCTAGGCAGTATGCTGGGATGGCAGAATTGCTTTATAGTCCCAGGGAATCTATTCTTTCCAATATACTGTTCAACATCTATATGAAACTACTTGAAGTCTCCATTTTCCAGACCTTGCATACAATGTACCAAATTTCATTGTGATTGATGTCATTTGTGTAATGAAATAAACTTATGTCATTAGTGTAATTATATAATTGGCATCATTTGTGTTGCCACAATGATACATTTTTCAGTTTATCAAATTCTGAGGAATAACTGTCAGCCTTACTAGGTAGACCAGACAGGAAATATGACCAGATGAGCTAATTCTACTTTACTGTAAAGCTACATTAAAAGAATCTTGCAAGTCTGAAAGCACAATTCTCCCACTGTCTCCTTTACAGCCTGAGAAACTAGGGAGGGTCTCTTCTGAGGCTCGTGCCCACCCCCCACCCCACTATCCAGCTGCAGGCTATGCTGTCTCTTCTGTGATTGTTTCCTAGGCAGTGTTTCTTGGCCCATTCTCCCAAGGTCTTTCCCACATAACATTATGATAACAGATACCCAATCACATTAAAAGGAGGTTTCAATTAGAGATCAGGCCCACCTATCTTCCTTTTCCAGCAGTTGTGCTGCCAAGTCTGTGGACATCACTGTGCACATCTGGAATTGAGGCTTGGATATGCTAAGGTAGGGATGAATGCATTCAAATATTGTCCAGATTAAGAGAGAGATATTGTTGAGAGGAGGAAGATTTGCACTTTCTTTAACAAATCAGTTTTGTACAGTAGTGCTTAAAAGTTTGTGAACCCTTTTGAATTTTCAATATTGCTGCATAAATATGACCTAAAACATGATCTGTTCTCCACATGTCCTAAAACTAGATAAAGAGAACCCAATTAAACAAAGGAGTCAAAAACATGATACTTGTTTATTTATTGATTGAGGAAAATGATCCAAAGCTACATATTTGTGTGCAGCAAAAGCATGTGAACCTAACCCAACTAAACATTTCCGGTAACTGTTGATCAGTCCTGCACAGCAGCTTGGAGGAATTTTAGCCCATTCCTCCTTACAGAACAGCTTCAACTCAGGTATGTTGGTGGGCTTCCTCACACAAACTGCCCACTTCAGGTCCTTTGATTTGCCCATTCCAAAATATTAACTTTCTTGTGCTTTAATCATTCTTTGGTTGTACAACTTGTGTGTTCTGGGTCATCGTCTTGCTGCATGACCCACTTTCTCTTGAGCTTCAATTCACAGACAGTTACCGTAATATTTTCCTGTGGAATTTGCTGGTATGATTCAGAATTCATAATTCCATCAATGATGGCAAGCCATCCTGGTCCAGAGGCAGCAAAGCAGGTCCAAACCATGATACTGCCACAACCATGTTTCACAGATGGGATAAGATTCTTATGCTGGAATGTAGTGTTTGCCTTTTGCCAAACATAACACTTTTCATTCAAGCCAAGAAGTTGTATTTTGGTCTCATCTATCCACAGAACCATCTTCTGTGTGGTTTTTTGCAAACTGTAGATGGGCAGCAATGTTCTTTTTGGAGAGTAGTGTCTTTCTCCTTTCAACCCTGCCATGCATACCATTGTTGTTCAGTGTTCTCCTGATAATGATCTCATGAACACTGACATTCGCCAATGCAAGAGTGGCCTTTAGTTCCTTAGGTGTTACCCTGGGGTCCTTTGAGACCTCCCAGAGTATTATACACCTTGCTCTTGGTGTGATCTTGGTTAGTTGACCACTCCTGGGGAGGGTAGCAATGGTGCTGAATTGCCTCCATTTGTACACAATCTGCCTGATAGTGAACAGTGGACAGGTAGAATCCAAAATCTTTGGAAATAGTTTTGTAACCTTTTCCAGCCTGGAAAGCATCAACAACTGTTTGTTCAAGCCATGACACATTTCCACATACCTGTGTTGTTACGATCAGATTTTGATAGTGAATACCCAGAATTCTGTTCTTTAAATAAGGCAGGCCTCCCACACTCACAGCTGATTATCATCCATTGATTGAAACACCTGACTCTAATTTCACCTTCAAATGAATTGATAATCCTAGGGGTTCACGTGCTTTTGCCACACACAAATATATAGCTTTGAATCATTTTCCTCAATCAATAAATGAACAAGTATCATGTTTTTGACTCCTTGTTTAATTGGATTCTCTTTATCTAGTTTTAGGACTTGTGTGGATAATAGATCATGTATTATGTCATATTTATGCAGAAATATTGAAAATTCAAAAGGGTTCACAAACTTTTAAGCACCACTGAAGTTTGGTGATTCTTATGGATAAAACATTACAATTAAAGTAAGACCCCAGTGGCTTCTGTGGCTAGAAGTATCTTTTATGAACTTTAGCTGATATGCAGCTGCAACCACACCTAGATGGAGTTATCTTAACCAGTTATCCGTGTTCTAATAATTTCCCATTTAGAAGACTACCATCTATTGTACATGGGACTGCCTTTAAAATGATTCCAAAACTGATCCAGTTCAAGATAGGGCTCCAAAATGAATAACTGGAATTGATTGCTTCAAACACATATGCCAATGCTTTAGCAGCTGCACAGGCTCCAAGTGAAATTGTGGACCCTACTGAAAGTGATGCTTTTAACAATAAAGGCCTTTAAACAATTTGGGACTAGGATAATTGGAAAAGTCTCTTGTCCTGTATATATTTATCTGTACTTTAAGATTCTTTTCTAAGGCCTCCTCTGTGAATCCCTAGCAAGCAAACTGAAGCATGTGACTACTAAGGGAAAGGTCTTCTTAATAGTGGTTATGAAATAGCCTCCAAAGAGCACCATGGCTGATGGCCTTTCTATGGTTTATTTGACACCAAATACATTTTAATTCAGCCAGATTGTTACAATGCTCCTTGGGCTCTTGTTTCAATATGGTTTAATATTTAGTATCTTTAGCAGAAAATTAATTCTTTTTCATTTTAATATTTAATTTTTTATTTTGATCATTAATTCACTTAGAAAATATTTTTTTGATAGGCAGCCTGTGATGGTCTGCATTCAGCTATGGCTTCCTGCTTGCTGTTCATATATCCATCCAGAAGCTCAAAGAAAGGCTTCGTGCTAGCTAGCTGATAACAGAAACTGAGATATACGTAGGAAGTATGGGAAATTTCCTAAAGGAGAGGAGAGGGGCCTCAGATGCTAGGCTGGCATTAGGGGTAGGATTTTATATTACCAGAAAGACACTAGAAAGGAGAATTAAAATGGAGATGTGTAATGGTACATTACAGATACAACTAAGATGCACATAGATAGCTCAAGGGTTTAATAAAAAAAAAATGGGCTGGCAAACTTGAATTGGATTGGACAACGTTTATGATGCTGAAGGCTTGCTAATTGGAGATTGGTCTGAAGTCTAAAAAGGAGAGGACCAAAAGCCTGGAGAAGATTGCCAAAGATAAATATGAGGATGCATGGTGGGACTTGCCTACCCAATGTAGATGGTGTTGGTGGGGGCTGAAGATGATGAAAGATCAAAGGTTTTAGCAACCAAAGAAAAGTTGCATTTGCCAGACTGACTCAGAGAGGAAATTGCTGCCTGTATCTGCAAGTCCTTCATTAATTCTAACAAAAGCTGGAAAACCCAAACTTTGCATATATAAACTTGCTAGCCATAAATAAAAGTGCTAGCTCTGCTAAGCAATGTATCTTGGGAACTGAAAATAAATGCTGAACAACTGAACAACTATCTGAAATTATATTTTGCAATGAGTTTCTATCAAATTCCAAGAACCCATAGGAAGCCCTTGGGATATAGCCATATAAATTTAACAAATCAAAGCCCATTGCAGATTTTTCATACCACAGAGAAATGAAGGATCTAATGGTTAAATTAAAAAAAAAAAAGCAAGTCCTAGATTTCTGACTTCTAAGTCCAAAGGCACAGTGGTAACCCTTTCATGTCTCTTAAACTTATGACATCAAGGGGGGAAAAAAGTAGAGATCCCTGAAATACTGGTTTCTTAATGATTCCACAAGCTGCTGTCATATATCCCTAGGCCAGAATTCACTGAATGAACATTAGTAACCTAGGTTTATGGGATACATGCAGTCTCCAGTCCAACAAGGGCATCCTCAAAATGCCCCCAAATCGCACCATGGAAATTCAACAGCAAATCCATTGATGATTTTCAGCTGGAGAATTTTCTGTATTGGTGTATGTGTGTGTGTGTGAAAAAATGTTAAATATTCTGTTATGCCTCTGCAATGTTTAATGCACCTATTTTGTATCTGGAAAATAAACAAACAACCCCCCCCCCAAAAAAGTGGGGTGGAGAGGAATTCAGCTTCTTCTATTCTAGTGATATCACTAAGTCATTTATAATTCCCTCACTATCATCAGAAGGTGAATTTAAATGAAATTTCGGTTGTTTCGGTTGTTTCAGTTGAGGTTCAGATGTATTTGTTTTGAAGGGGTACATGAGCCTTGACTATAAAGGCTGAAATAAGTTCTAATTCCTCTGAAAGTATACCTTCCTCATAATCTCTACCACAAAAACAAATGGCAAGATAAGTATATTTACATTAAAGAATGTAAACTTTCTGGTGTTGCAGAATATAGCTTAGTTTAGCATAAAATTAAATCTATTTCTAAGAGACCCTCATTATTTAAAATACCGAGTTAGTCCTCAAGTTACTTTTTCATGTATTTCCAGGTTGTCATAAGATTAACCCACTTTACAATTTCTGTTTGTTTGCTTTTTGAAGCATTGGATCAAGGCAATATTGGTACATTTCATATAATACATTGCAACAAAAATGTTCTATTATTTGCTTTCTTGTTCATTGTTACACTGTCAATCAAAAACAAGTAGAGGGATATTTAGATATTCCATAAAGGTAATTAATAGTGCAATCTTATATGCGTGTTTGGAAATTCCTCACGCTGTTCTTTATTCCCAGCTATATATATGTTAGCTATAGTCCAGATGTGAGGCTGTGGAAAGCATTTGAAAGGGATGCCTTTGCAAAGTGTGTTGGTGTGAGTGAAGCATTCCTCAAAATGTGAAAGCAGTTGCATCCTTTAGAAGGCCCATGTGATTGTTTCAGAGGCTGTTCCAGTTGACTGCATATACACAAGTATGCATGGGCAGTACTTCTATTATTCACTAGACAACTCATGACCCGTTGGGTCACTCTTTCAGAGATATTTACTTACCTAAACAGATCAACAGAATGACCATAGGCAGCAAAAAAGCAGTGGGAGTGGGAGTGATTTCTGATTTCTTGCCAGCTTCCCCATTGACTTTGCTTGTGGGAAGCTGCCAGGGAGTGTCAGAAATCACAATTACGTGACCATGGCTGACTGTGGCGGTGCAGCAGCGGCCACAACTTTGCCAATACAGCTGGTGTGAAGATCCTTGAAATTTCAATTACACAGAAGTAATGGGTCCCAGATTTTGTATCATCAATTGGAAATCTACTTAATTTAATGTACACTATCATTAGTCAATGAGAGACACTTTGGTATAGTGGTTAAGGCACCAGCCTAGCAACCAGGAGACTGTGAGTTCTAGTCCTGCCTTAGGTACAAAGTCAGCTGGGTGACCTTGGGCCAGTCCCTCTCTCTCAGCCCTAGGAAGGAGGCAAGAGCAAACCACTTCTGAAATCTTGCCAAGAAAACTGCAGAGACTTCTCCAGGCAGTCGCCAGGAGTCAAAAACTGACTCAAAACACTACCACTACCAACAAAAACTCATTCTTCAGAAGTTATACTTTTCCTAGTTTAGTTTCTTTTGATCTTATAATGAAGTTAGTACAACAAAAACTGTTGCAGTTTTCCCTCATAGAAGCACAATGCAAGTATTCCTATTAACTTCCCATCAAATGAGTCCCATGAATTTTTCTTTTAAAAATGTGGAGATTTCATTATACACTCCAGCCTTGCACATGTTATTTAAATCTTATGTTCATCTTAAAAAGTACTTAGGGATAGGGAGCAGAATTACAAAAACAATTAACTGAAAAACTTTCGAGTTACACCAAGCAGGCATACCAAGACATAAAAAGAAGCTTCTGTTTATAGATGACAGCTTCAAATCACAGCAATATAACATTAGTTCTGAAGGTTAATGGAACTGCCCTTATGATCTTGTCAAGATAATTGATATTCATAAACTACATATTTTTCTCATTACACCAAAGGTTTCTAAGTGATATGTGACACATCCATTCTCATCTTATTTGTTGCTACCCTGTTCCTATTTCCATATTTGCATACATTTCACTAGTCTTGTGCAGCTGATTGTCCAATCACAGTATTTCCTAATAACTTTATGTACAAACAACAGCCACAGGGGGGAAAAAGATGGAGCATCTATTATACTGTGCTAAATTCAGAGAAAACAAGTGTAAGAATGAAAATGGAGACACTATGCTTCGTTGCAAGCGTGGACGTAGCTCAACCAATACACCTGCAGTTAAAAAGGCAAAATGTGCTGCGAACCGGCAACTAAACTGATCTGTCGCATCCTACGATGTGCAAGCAGCCACACAAACGAGAAGGTCGAGACACCCTAAAGCGGCCCTCCTTCAGCTCCTCTCTTCATCTTACCCGCCAGGGGAGTACTCCAGATTGAAAACAGCGCCGTGGGTGCGGGTGATGGGGGACACCGAATCGGCGGGCTGGATAGCACCGTAGAGCCCCGTCA